CCTCTGAAAGTTCTATGTCAAAAATACAGCCATAGTCTTCAATCTTTGAATTGATTCCTAGAGCAATTATTCTTTTTTATCTCTGATTGTAAAAGATAATGAACCACACAAATAATAAATGCCTTGCAAATGAGAGTTTTACTTTAAGTTGTTGCACTTGTCAATTCCTGTCTGCACATTGTTGTATAACTCAACAGTCAGCTGAGTACCTTGAGATATATTTAGCTGAATGTGTATGACGGTCTCCTGCTATCCGATAGCTGTTGTATTTCAGGATTGTACGATGCACATGCTTTCAAACAAATTTACATGTGACATAAGTATTCAGATTGTGTTTGCTCTCCACTTCAGGTTTTAAAAGTTAACAGTATGTATAACCCAGCCAACTCACCATTTAAATTAGAAGTCAGCAAGTCAAGTTGCTAAGGCCCAGGCTGATGAAACAAGAGATGTAATTGAGCTCCAGTCTGTTTTAACAGACAGCCGGTTTATTCCATTTTAACTTACATAAGAAGCAGAGGTGGGACGTGTCCAGCGACCCCATGACAAAAGTGTGGGACTGATGTTAATGTGTGATCTTTATATATTTCACTTCCTACAAATAGGGTAAAAAATTGGTGTCTGATTACTTTTTATTTTAGCAAACAACATGAATCTAGCATTTAAAAAATGTGCTCGTTTTAAACACATCTGTACCTTAAAATTGTGATTTTGGCCTTGGCTTTCTCGACTGTATCCAACAATTAAAATCATGCAACAATTTCATATTACACAATTTATTGAAATTATATTAAATTAATTGTAATAATGATAATAAATATTTATTATCATTATTATATTACTTTAGGCTAAATATGTAACCCTGCTACCATTCTAGTTTTTTCCCTCTAGCTTAGTTTTTTTATTGTATAAAAAACTGACTGTAATCAAAATTATTTATGCACATGAAATGCAAATATGATACCCCACTTGTGGTGTGTTTTCTAGTTCAGCAGTATGTGTCTGTAACTCTTAGTGAAAATAAACATTGCTGCATAACTTGTCATTGAGTCACATGGTTTAGTGCTAATGTGCCAGATATGGTCTCCCTTTGCTTTTACTGTAGGTCATAGTTTTTTATATATATATATCTAAAAAGCTGAGATTTACTTGAGATTCTGAGCACCTATATGCACATCCGCTGCTGTCTCTTCCGTTGAAATCAGAGTTGGACAGCTGGCTTACTCTACAGGCACTATGTTTAGTGCTAAGTTGCAAGGTTGTCTCTCTCCCCATGCCATCTCACCAGATTGAATTGCACTGACTCAGTTATGAGTGCCTCGTTTGTCCATCCCTCCCTCTGCCTGTACATTGACCTCTGCCCTCAGAATTTAAAGGGACCATAATCAAAATGCATTTATTCATGATATGCATGCATAATACCCCACATGTAGTGTGTTTGTCCAATGCAGCAGTATGGGTCTGTACATCTCTGTGAAAAAAACATTGCTGGATAACTTGAAATTGAGTCATATGGTTTAGCGCTAAGGTGGCAGATATGTTCTCGCTTTGCTTTTACTGTCAGTGGAAAGGTCATCAAGCATTTGATTCACATACTGACACTTCGCTGGCTCTGTTTTGTGTTACATATCCCATTTCTATACAGTCAGTCCATACACTTACTAACAGACACCCATCGACTCTACATGCACTTTTCCAGAACTCCTTGAAAGCACAGCTATAACTGCAAGATTTAACAGCTGTGGCTTCACGCAAACATGTTCATTGCATTCTCTGTGCTTAGCACTGCTCTCCCATAACCTGTCTGCTTAGACTAAAGCCTCTCCACCTCTGGCCATCTTCAGTCATTTATACTTTAATGAATGGTGCTTGTCTAAAACAAATACATTGTGCCTCATTCTTAGGAAACACACTCTTTTTTTTCCTTTTGACTATTGGTATAATTAAAAAGAATGTCACATTACTTAATATATTGAACTCTGTTAAGTGTATATTTGGTACCATTTTATTTTAAGGTGTCCTTGTTACATGTTACATGTAATTACTATAGTATTAGCACAAAGTTATGCATAATTACATGCAATAACCCTAAACCAAACCCTAATCCTAAACCTAACCCTATAGTAAATACATGCTGTTAATTAATATTACTCAGTACTTAAATGTATAATTACACTGTAACAAGAACACCTTAAAAAAAGTGTAACTGTTTATTTTTCATTGGAATATCAGCTTATTTCCACATCTGCGTGTATTGGCATTATATTTTTGGATTTATTAAAAAACTTGATTACATTATTTAATTTTTGCTTGATCTCATGCTTTCACTATCTATATGGATTTTTTTATATATATATATATAAAACATTCTTCGCATCCCTCACCTGTTTCAATCTGTTTGGGCTCTGACAATTCTTCCTTTAAAAATAATGGTTTATCCTTCTTCATATCTGTCTCTATGAGTATTTCATTGTTGACATCACTGGCCTCTTAAAGTTGACTAAAAAAAAAAGTCAACTTTTTGTTGTAAAAAAAAAAAAAAAGCACCCTGAATATATTGTTATATATTATTAAAATGATATTTTATTTAAAAAGTATATAATAATATGTTGCATATATTATAATATTATTTATTATTCATATTAATAATATTAATTTACAGATAAATGTGAATATGTAAAAACATTCCATTTTGTATAAATTCTGTTGTTAGCTATTTTTTGCAGGGACAAAAACATGTTTCGACAGAATGAACAGAAATGTTATACATTTTTATTTTTTCCCAAGAATGTGCCATTTATCATAAGACAAAGTGAAACTAAGTGATATTATCACAATTAGTGAAATTATCTATTCAAATTATATAAATGATTAATAACAGTACAGTACATCCCTACTGCTAATTTGCAAGTCTATAACCATGTATTTAAGATTGGGGGTAATAGTTTAAACTGTAATTGTAAATTTTTTTTTTTTTTGGAGAGTTATAATTGGAAAGGCACTGCAACTAACAACTCGCTGAATTTGATAGATATCTTGAATTTGCATCTTACTGACAGTTTCAGGCAGGAGTGTCCTGACATACAGAACTACCACATTTTGCTATAAGTTTGATTGTATCATATAATAATAGCTGTTAATAGTGTTCATCGTCTGTTTTATTACGTTTTACATTTATTTTTCCATACATTTCTGCCATATGTACATTAACTGACAGTCACCACTGACAAACTACCACTAAATATTGTAGAAACTTAATTGGCTGTAAAGTTGCTTTGCAATGATTTGTATGGTGAAAAGCGCTGTACAAATAAACTTGACTTGACCATTTAGCGCCCAAACTCTGGAATAACCTACCTAACATTGTTCGGGAGGCAGACACACTCTTGCAGTTTAAATCTAGATTAAAGACCCATCTCTTTAACCTGGCTTACACATAACACACTAATACGCTTCTAATATTCAAATCCGTTAAAGGATTTTTAGGCTGCATTAAATAGGTCAACCAGAACCGGGAACACTTCTCATAACACCCGATGTACTTGCTACATTGTTAGAAGAATGGCATCTACGCTAATATTAGTCTGTTTCTCTCTTATTCCGAGGTCACCGTAGCCACCAGAACCAGTCTGTATCCAGATCAGATGGTCACTGCAGTCACCCGGATCCAGTACATATTCAGACCAGATGGTGGATCAGCACCTAGAAAGGACCTCCACAGCCCTGAAAGACAGCGGAGACCAGGACAACTAGATGAGCCACAGATACAGATCCCCTGTAAAGACCTGGTCTCAGACGACCACCGGGACAAGACCACAGGAACCAGATGAGTCCTCTGCACAATGTGACTTTGCTGCAGCCTGGAATTGAACTGCTGGTTTTGTCTGGTCAGAGGAGAACTGGCCCCCCGACTGAGCCTGGTTTCTCCAAAGGTTTTTTCTCCATTCTGTCACCGATGGAGTTTTGGTTCCTTGCCGCTGTCGCCTCTGGCTTGCTTAGTTGGGGACACTTCATTTCCAGCGATATCGTTGACTTGATTGCAAATGATTGCAAAGATACTATTTAAACTGAACTGAGCTGGATGATGACATCACTGAATTCAATGATGAACTGTCTTTAACTGAAAAATGAGTGTTGACTATTGTCATTTTGCATTATTGACACACAATTTTCCTAATTAATGCTGTTCAGTTGCTTTGACACAATCTGTATTGTTAAAAGCGCTATATAAATAAAGGTGACTTGACTTGACAAACTGAATTCAGTATATGCCACGTAAACTGTTAAGTGTGGTTCAGCAGAGACAACAGAGAGAGAGAGAGAGAGAGAGATAAAAAGGGGGTTTTAGTGGTTCTATTGACTTTGGCCTCATCACATTTAGAGATATAGATTAGCTCTCTCGTTGTTTGAGAACATTGCCCTGCACTGGCCCAGCCAAACTGCCCTTATTGGGAGTGGATCTGCCCCTGGCTCCTCTAGCAGCTGAACCATTAATCACTCCAGTCTCATATATCTGCTCACAGTTGCTATCACGCTCCTTCCACTTTATATCCCTGCACTCATTTTTCGTCCTAAATCACACACTGGTTTTACTCTTTCCGTGCAGCAAAGTGTGCCAGTGTCACCATTATTCCTTTTTCAGTTGCATTCTGCAACGCAACCCTCTCTTTCCTCACTCTCAGTTCTTCACGCTCTATGTTAAACCAAAGACGATTCCTAGATGCATCCTGATCTGCATGGTTCCTATCGTTAAGTTAAGCCTGTCTGATGGGTCCGAAGCTAATGCTGCTTATTTTACACACCCAGACAACACCCCCTCCCTCTTACCCCAACTCACCCTAAGCAGCTTTATTGAAACTATGCCAATGTGGCGTCACAGAGAGACTCCTCCCAATGCATGTCCAACATAGAGGCCATCTAAAATGCTTTGTGACTGTCTTGTGTAACAGATTTACATATACTTTGCATTTGCAGCAAGTAATGTGTAATGTTTTTGTTGCTAAGCATTGATAAAAGAAGCAGCTTGTCATCATTACATATGCACAATGTCCTAAAATGCTGTCTAGGTAGGCAACTCTTATTTTTTATTCTATATTTTCACAATAAAAGTGGGCTGCCTCACTAATGCTGTCATTAGTGAAGCAGTCAAGTCGTTCTAATTAAATGTCACTTGAAATGTGAGGCTTTGTAATCATAACTGAAATATTTATAAACACGGACTTATTTATAATAATCACTCAAAAATAAAAATAAAAATACTGTGCCAATGTTTCCACCAGGTTATTATGGGATGGTATGTTGGTGCCTGTACTTTTTAGTGATTCAATGTCAATATAGCAATCTACTTGAACTAAAATCTGCTTTTTACCATAAAATGTACTCCTGTCTATCATGATAATACAGGTGGTAAAATAGAAATGCACATAAGGAGTTCATGGTAATTCCAAGATGCCATAAAACATGGGCAGAAAACAACACACGACACTAAAATAATCAACTAAATAATATACATTACTGATAACAATATTAAAATATAATCGTGTCCTTTTCCTGTTTTTCAGCATAAATGATATGGTAATTCAGAGTTTTTAACTACAAAAAATGTGACAGTATTTTATGGTAAAACTACATCTACTGCTTTCTCAAACCGTTTACAGTCTTTTTTTATGGAGCTGCATTAAATGGTTAGGCCTACTTTTCTAAATGTGAGCCAATTGAAATTATTAAGAATAAACTACATTTTAATTGAAGAGTTCAGATGCAAAAGCTGAAAAGAACCTATTCATTGCCATTAAAGTGAAATTACTGAACCTACATATAGAAGCATTATTAAAAAAATAATAATAATAATAATAATTTTAGAAGAAAAGTTCAAACGGCGCTAGAGGCTTTTGCATCTGATTGCATATCTGATTCAAGTATATTTGTAATTAGTCATCATGACACCCTCCAATAAAAAAGCGTTATTGTGCACGCCTCATGTATTTGTTGATGTGGTGATGCTCCATTAGGCGCAGTTCTGAGCTGCGGCAGATAGGTGGCCTGTGGTGGTCGCGCAGGCAGCTCACGGCGCAGTCGCGGTAATGAACGGACGGATCAGGTAAGCGCTGTTAATTCAACAACAGGTGAGTGAATGACCGCGACCGAGGCTCTGCTTGGCTGTTACATCCGTTAATCGCGACTACATCAAGGAAATAAAGATGTGATGTGGATTGTTTTAGTCGGAATTGTCTGGCTGTAAGTTCCGCGTCGTGGCCACTTGTCCAAGTTACTGCAGGTAAATGAATATTAGCTGCTCACACTCACTGGCCAACAGACTCTTTATGTGACCTGAGAGAATAAAAAGCTTTACAATGCGGTTTAATAGACTATTACACCTTCGTTTGTTGTCACTGTTTGTTTTTCCTGAATTAGCCTTCGTTACAACTGCTAATCTGGTGAAAGACAGCATGTTTAACACTTATCGTCACTAAAAATCACTTTTACAGAGGTCTACCCATCATAGAGTGTCATTGTTTGTTTATTATAGGAGATATTCATTCATTTTAGGTTGGCCAGCTTAATTGTCACAATGTATATTTTATTCAAACGGGGTTATTAATATTAATATTTAATATTTTCCCTATAGCTATATAGCTCTTAAATTTATCTGTAAATATATGTCTGTACTTAAAACAATTCTTTGTTTACACAACACGTGTCTGGATATAGACGATTCAGCATCATGAGAGAATGAACACTTTACTATTCAATTGACAGATCAAATAGATCATTTTTGTCATTATTTACTCACCCTCATGTCAAGCCAAACCTCCAAATGTGTACGACCTTCTTTCTTCTATGAACTTTGTGGATTCTTGTGCCATTCTTTTCAATATACTGACCGTAAAGAATGATTGACAGCTGTCAAGCTCCAAACTGAATGTGACTCCTGCTGTTCTGTGTTCCAGGTCTTCTAAAGCCATACGATAACTTTTCGTCGTAAAGAACAGACTTAAGTTTAAGCTGTTATTCGCTGAAATTTTGAATGAGAAGATTTGGAATATACCACACTAGTCATATGAACACATTTATGACACTTTTATGGTGAATCCTTCAAGTGTTGAACTGGATTCATTAAGCCAGGGTATTCAATGTAATTTTATACAGATCAGAACTGAAAGGTTTTTCAACAGCAACAGCCAAAATAGAGAAAAATAAAAAACATGCAAGATAGCCATTGGTCCACTCCACCCTTTAAGCATGCCAGACTGGTACCTAATGCATGTATCATTGTTTTGTTATTTTCTCAATTAAACCCATATATCCGTGTTGATGACCTGATCGGTCTGGCGTAAACATGAGCTCAGTCCTTTACCTCCCCAGAGAGATCTCTGTTCCTACCTGTAAACTGATTCTTACCTAGCAACCCTTCTGCTTGTTTTCATGTGTTGGAGTGGCAGGCAAGCGTCACTTCACTTTTCTCACTAACAGGAGTCTATGCTCTTATGATCTAAAATAGGGCACAATGTACTGTATTAATATGAAGTAATTTTCTGTTTTTATTTTTTACAGGTGTTTTACCTGTATTTTGAATTTTGCACTTCATTTTACAGTTACCTAAATTTCTGTAAAATTAATGGATTATGTCTTGCCAGACAATTACCAGTACATTTTTTGCCAGTTTATATTTGTTGTATTCTCTGGTGCTTCTTAAAAAACATATATCCCATATTTATTTTGAAGATTTTTCTTTCTTTGCAGTCAAAGGAGATCTTGCTTTTAGCGTGAATTAAGGTTAGTTTCTGATATTCTATACTGCGTGTGATATAATTTTACCTGTGACCCTTTTCTGTTTGTCTAGTAGTTGTTTGTGTGGAGTTTGTCTACACAATTTTCTTCCTGAAATATCACCTACGGTGTTTCTTGGCAGTGTGCATTTATTATGCCACCCACATTAACAACAATGACTGTGTACTGTAGGATTATGTAGCAGAAGTTGCTCTGCAAGTATAATTTGAATGCTGAGACTTTTTTATGCTGCACATTGCATTTTAAAAACTATAAAAAATGGAGATAAAATGGAATTATAGAAATAAACTATAAAAGTGGTTCTTTATCTTTTTTGTGACACAGAAGCAACATATAAAATACACCCATTTACACTGAATGTTTGAAAAAAAGACGTCAAGCACACAAACCACTTTCTATTTAGTAAATCTGTTTAAATCCAGACTAAGCAGTTAATTATACAGTAGCTAAACTTTGGGGTTTACGTTCTGATCTGTGTTAATTACCTTTAGATATTTGAATATTTTTGAAAAAAGTCACCAAGCTTGCATTTAAAAAAAAAATCAAAAATTTTAAATATTGTGAGATATCATTCAATTTAAAATGAGTGTTTTTTATTTGAATATAATTTAAAAAGTAATGTATTCCTGTGATGGCAAAGCTGAATTTTCAGCAGCCAATAGTCTTCAGTGTCACAGGATCCTTCAGAAATCATTCTAAAATGTTGATTTGGTGCTAAAGAAACATTTCTTATTATTACCAATGTTAAAACAGTTGTGCTGCTTTATATATTTGTGAAAGATGTGATACATTGTTTCATGACACTTTAAAATAGGAAGTCTAAAAGAACAACATTTATTTGAAATTTTATAACATTATAAATGTCTCTTACTTTTGATCAATTTATTGCATGCATGCTCAAAAAAAACCTTTTGTCATGAACAATATGTCAGTTTACCACTTTGAATAATCATTTGCGTCATCAAAACAGATACTCAATATAGTAACCCAGAAATGTGTGAATGTTATAATGCACTCCTGCATGCTATGTGAACAATTCCCTAGAGTCCTGGTCAATTTGCACACTAAATGCATGTTGATACCAAATGTATATTTTCCTCCCTAGGGTCTGAGTGTCAGACATGTTGTCAGGGGAGGAAATCTTATGCAGCACCCAGCAGGTGATCGCAGGGCTGGAGGCTCTGCGTGGAGAGAACTGCACGCTGCTGGACAGCCTGCAGGAAACGCTCCAGAGTCAGACGCCCAGCGAGAGCGCTAGCCTGGAGCAGGAGAAGACCAACATCATCTTAGAGTCTCTGGAGAGGATTGAACTGGGCCTAGGAGAGGCGCAAGTGAGCGGCGCAGTCAACTTCATTCACTTGCTGTCTCATTAAGAGCCTTTTCACTCACCCTAGCTGTCTGTTTCCCGCTCATCCAGGTGATGATGGCTCTGTCAGCACACCTGGGCTCTTTGGAGGCAGAGAAGCAGAAGTTGCGTGCTCAGGTGCGGAGGTTGTGCCAGGAGAACCAGTGGCTGAGGGACGAGCTGGCCCGGGCCCAGCAGCAGCTACAGGAGCGGGAACAGGAAGTGGTTACTTTAGAGGAGCAGAACAGACACCTGCAGTTCATGAGCAGCATCCGCAAGTACGACCACGAAGAGCCACCTATGGTAAGGGTTCATCTTGAAAACATTCATATGGTTAAAACATTTAGGTTTATAGGCTAAACGTTTGTTCTAGACTAGCTTTGTGGATATGGGTTTTTGTAAGAAAATGGCAAGCAATTAAATCACCTTCACCCACCTTCACCTGTCCCTTAGTCTGGTTGACTGTTGGGGCGCCACAGATGCTCTGGCAGCCAGCTTCTTCCATTCCTCCCTCTTCTCAGCTTTTCTCAAGGTCTCGCCCAGCATATGGCCTGTCCACTCCTGAATGTTGTTTTCCCATCTCTTTCTCTGCCTGCCTCTCTTCCTCCCTCTTGGCACTGTGCCCTGCAGGACTGTCTTCGCAAGTCCTGATGACCTTATTAAATGGCTGTACCACCTCAGCTTCCATTTTTTCACCACAGTCAGGAGGTCATCATATGGCCCAATGGTCCGCCGAATTCTGTCATGTACTTCTTCATTGGAGATGTGATTTCTGTAGAAGATGCCGAGGAGTTTTCTGAAGCATCTCATCTCCATGACCTGAACTTTCCTTTCCAGTTCAGCTGTTAGTGTCCAAATCTCACAGGCATATAAAAATATGGACATGACTAGGGAGCGCATCAGTCTGATATTTGAGCTGAGGGCTATGTTCCTGTCACTCCAGATGGTCTTTAATTTTGTCAGTGCCACTGTGGTGTGGGCGATCCTGGCGAGTATCTCAGGTTTGGACCCTTCATCCGCAACGAAAGCATCCAGGTATTTCTACAGTATTATTAAGGTTGAACGCCTTTTTGAAGTCCACAAAAAAAGTTTTGTTGATGTTGTAGGTATCTCTCGCATATTATCCTAAGGTTGAAGATCTGCTCTGATGTGCTGCGCCCTTGTCCATTTGCGGCTTCAATCGATTCAGTAGGATCTTTAGCACGACCTTGCTTGGGTGGCTTATAAGGCTGATGGTACGATAATTCTGGCAAAGTTGTAGATTGCCTTTCTTAGGGAGGATGATGATGAGAGACTGGGTCCATGGTTTGGGCCATTCTCCTGTCTGCCAGATCTTGTTGCAGATATTCAGTAGGGCACCTATCATGGCATCTCCCCCTGCTTGCATGAGCTCTGCAGGGACGTTATCCACTCCCGCCGACTTCCCCTTCTTAAGCGATTTCATTGCTTATTCCACTTCTGTGTGAAGGATGGGGTAGTTGTCATTGTCGGTTGCTGGGGGGGACATTCAGTACCTCTGGATCTCCTGTGGTTTCATAGCTGTACAGCTCTGAGCAGTACTCAGTCCAACTCTTTAGGATGTCCTGTTCTTCAGTCAGACAATTACCGTCCTTGTATGGCTTGTGTTCGCCCTTGCTTTGTGTTGGTCAGGTCTTTCAACAGCTGGTATGCTTATATATAATGCATCACATTCATTTACCAAGTTGCACACAATTAAATAATATTTGACAAAATTACATATTGATTGGAAACAATATTCTGCTCACAAGTGATATTAACCTTGATTTTTTTTTCTTGATTTTCTTACATTTATTTGATCTCATATTTAATCTCAGGCATATTTTTTGCTGTGGTTATGTCTGATAAATAATTTTAAATAAATATATATTTATTTTTTTTGCAGTGGGACAATCACAATTTGTGTAAGATCTATATAACATCTCTTCCATCTTTTTTTGACCCTCTAACTCTAGCACCCTCTATTCTAATTCTATTATTTAAAAAAAAGTGTCCCTTTTAGACTTGCACTCTATTCATTTACTGCTTGTTTTCTTTAAAAAAAAAAACACTAGCTTTTCTAATCTTTTTGTATTCTGTCTATTTGCTTTCTTTTTATTTGTTATACAATTAACAAAAGCAAAAAAGGCCTGTAACACTAGCTTGCTCTATTCTTTTTCTATTCTATCTGTTTTCTTTCTTTTCTTTCTTTTTTTCTTTTCTATTTGGATTATCATAGCTTTAAACAATGTAATTCATATTTTCATGATGGATTTTCATATTTTATCTAATGTCTGTGCTTGACACAATGCTAAAACCATTCCATCCATACAAAATGGCATTTAATAAGGAAAAATAAATGCATGGCATGACATAAAGTCAGTCCGACCTTCATATAACAAGAAAAAAAAAAAGGTTGAGATCTGAAAAAGCAACACTTGGGACATAAAAGTACCAAAAGTAAAAAAAAAAAAAAAAACACCCACCTTTTTGACTTGAAGGCCCACCACTAACCCCAATATAATCAAAGATATTTCTGTATTTCTTCAGTAATTATGACAAAGATGCTTGATTTCAAACTTTTTTTATTAACAAAGTCTAGGAGTATTGATATATTAAATTAACCATGATTTATTAGATTAACCATGATTCATTTTGTGATTTCAAAAACTGTATGATTAGGCACCACTGGTCTAAAGGCTATTCAAAATATTAAATCGTAAACTCATGACATGCTCATGCTGTTTGTTTCTTACAGGAGGATAAAGATTCTACTTCAGGGAAGGGGTCCCTTGATGATCTCTTTCCTTCTGAAGAAGAGGAGCAATCACACAGTACGACACTCCTCACAGACCACAGCTGTTCCTTTACACATTTGTTTATTGAGTTTTTGCCATGTCAGCTGTTAGAGCAAGCAAGGGTTTGGTTAACGCAAGGTTTAGCACAGTGTTAAGTTTCAACCACAGTTAGGATTTACTATAACCACAACTAGAATTTCAAAAATCAGGAAATTGAGAAATGTAACAAGATTGGTTTGAGCTCATGATCACCGCAGCTCAATCTATCGGAGCATGTGTGCATGTATCTCAGCTCTACTCTTGTATTTGCAGTGTCTCAGCCACACAGTAGTGCTGCCGCTGCTGCCCAGCAAGGAGGATATGAGATCCCTGCCCGCCTCCGAACTCTCCACAACCTGGTGATCCAGTACGCCTCTCAGGGCCGCTATGAGGTGGCCGTGCCGCTCTGCAAGCAAGCTCTGGAGGACCTGGAGAAATCCTCAGGCCACAGCCATCCTGATGTTGCTACCATGCTCAATATCCTGGCTTTGGTGTACAGGTCACACATTCATTTAACCTTAAGTGTAAATATAATTATTAATCTGTATTACATTCTAATCTTATTAAATAACATTAATATTATGCTATACAGGGATCAAAACAAATACAAGGAAGCGGCCAATCTCCTGAATGATGCATTGGCTATCCGCGAGAAGACATTAGGCATTGACCATCCAGCAGTATGTTCTGTTTGAAGATGGAATGTGTTACTGTTATAGTTTGCTTTGCTCTTTTTTTCTTTTTGTATTTCTCTGAAAAGTCAATAGTCACATATGCAATCTATATACATTAGGTCCCTTTCCTTGAGTTTATGTTTGTGTTTGTAGGTGGCAGCTACTCTGAATAATCTGGCTGTGTTGTATGGAAAAAGAGGGAAGTATAAAGAGGCAGAGCCACTGTGTAAAAGAGCTCTGGAGATCAGAGAAAAGGTACTGACACAAAAAGAGTGAGTGGTTTTCCCACCTGTCCTTTCTATAACAGCTGTCAGATCAGATCAACTTACCCCTGTACACTACCGTTCAAAACTTTGGGGTCAGTGAGATTTTTTTATTTTATTTTATTTTTTAAAGAAGATAATTTCATTTAGCAAGGATGCATTAAATTGATCAAAGGCTTTTACATTACATATGTAAAAAAAAAAATATTTCAAATAAATGTTATTCTTCAAATGTTCTATTCATCAAAATATCCTGGTTTGCACGAACACAACATAGTAGCAAATCATCATATTATAATGATTTTATCCTTACCAGTAAATCATGGACAACTGGAAAAGTCATGGAGCCTTTAAATGTTGTTGTGGCCTTGGAGTCAAAAAGGTTGAGAACCACTGGTCTAGATTAAATATCTTGCCTATCTTTGTCTGTTGATAGGTGCTTGGGACAGATCACCCTGATGTAGCCAAGCAGCTGAATAACTTAGCCCTCCTATGCCAGAACCAGGGCAAATACCAGGAAGTGGAGCAGCACTATGAACGTGCACTGCACATTTACCAGAGCCAGCTGGGTCCAGACGATGCCAACGTGGCCAAGACCAAGAACAACCTGGTCAGGATAGGAAATGAGTATCTTGTCAAATGCTTGTGTTTTTTGTTTATAATGGTAGCAGTAGTATATTATGCATGATATATAATATACCATTCATTTACCCTTCAGGCCTCCTGTTATCTCAAGCAGGGGAAATACAGGCAAGCTGAGGCTCTTTATAAAGAGATTCTGACTCGTGCTCATGAGAAGGAGTTTGGCTCAGTGGAGGGTAAAATCAGTTTTACTTCTGCCTTCAGAGGAAGTTTTAGACACCGTAGTTTGACCTGCTAAGCATACTTGTCCAATAGTAAATTAATATTTTCACATAGGGGACGGCCGGCCGGTTTGGATACATACAGAGGAGGGAAGCTCTAGACAGGTATGTTTTCAATCCAAATATGCATGTTCTATTAGGAAAAATAGCCTTTTAATGTACAATTTGTGTGTGTGTGTGTGTGTAGGATGGTCTGGGAAGTCTGAAGCGCAGTGGATCGTTCACCAAGCTCCGGGAATCTATAAGACGAAGCAGTGAGAAGCTTGTTCGGAAACTGAAAGGAGTTGGAACACAGGAAACAGCCCCTCGAGCTGCTGGGTAATGATATTCTGCTTATTGTTCAGCTCTCGTCACTTTTGATGTAGAAGAGAGCAGTATTTTTAACTACTCATTTATTTTTAAACAGGATGAAGAGAGCCAATTCTCTAAATGTGCTTAATGTGGGTCTCAAAGAAAGTCAAGAGCCTGATATGGTAAGCGTTGGGTCTTTGCTTTCAAATTTGCTCAAGTATCTTATATTCACTAAGACTGCATTTATTTGAGCAAGTATTTGATCATTTATTTTGATACAGTAAAATGTTATATTGTGAAATAATATGATTTATAATGTTTTCTATTTGAATATATGATCCTTCAGATATCGGTCTAATATGCTGATTTGGTGCTTAATACATTTCGTATTATTATCATTGTTGAAGACAGTTGTGCTGCTATATATTTCTGGTGGAAACTGATAAAATTTTTTCAGAACATTTATAATATTACAAAAGATTACTATATCAAATAAATGCTGTTCTTTTGAACTTTATATGAATCAATTTAATGTATAATTGCTGAATAAAAGTATTTTCTTCTCAGTGGACCCAAACTTTTGAAGGGTGATGCATACTTTTACAGTAATCAGGAATTAGTTAAAGGATGGTGATTGAGAATGGTTATCGGATAATGAAAGTCTATTTTGTCTTTTCAGAAGCCCAATAGGCTGACAGATGCACGGGGTCTGAGTTCAAGCACGCAGAGTTTAGCACGCCGTGCATCTCTGAGCGGTGACAGCTAACTTTCAGACATGCCATGTGACATCAGGACTGATGCAGAGATGTCAGCCTCACATCTGGCTGGTCTGTAATGACTGCAAAGGTCATATTTGACAATAATATGAGGAATAGTATATGACGATGAATGCACACACTTCACAGCAGTCTGTCAAAGTGCTTCTGGAAAAGGAGAGCACACTTTGGCTTTACAAAAATATTTTTTACACTGTAAAATCAGTTCAGTCTACTCATTTTTAAAAGCCTGTTGCAATATAAAATGTCACAGAAATTTATAATTTATTGCATTTCAAAGATAGGACCATTACCACAGTCTTAGGCAGGGTGCAGTTTTTTTTTTAATAAAAGTGCGATCACATTTTATTGCTCAGCAGAATTTTGCAGGCAAAATCCAGTCATTTCAATAGGAATCCATGCACTCAGGACTTTTGTGTACTTAGGTTTCACTCATGTTCAGGTTGGTCGCACAAATTTGCTATATTGACCAACAGAAAGCCTTTGTTGTGAGAGTCTCTATTTTGTAAGCCTAATTCATTGCTACATTATTGACAATGGACATTTTTTTGCCTGCATAATTTTACTAATGTAACTGCACCTTACCACTGTTTACTTAGAATATTGTAGCAATATGTGACATACATTCCATGTCCTCACACTACCATGCAATAGAATTATAGTATTTGCACTTAAGGGATAGTGGAAAAAATTAAAATTCTGTCATTAATTACGCACCCCCGCAAGACCTTCGTTCATCTTCAGAACACAAATTAAGATATTTTTGATGAAATCCGAGAGCTTTCTGACCCTGCTTAGGCAGCAGGCCCAGGCAGGTAGTAAGAACATTGTTAAAAGTCCATGTGAACAGTGGTTCAACCATAATGTTATGAAGCTTTGAGAATACTTTTCGTGCACAGAGAAAACAAAAACTACTTTATTCAACAATTCTTTGCAGGGTCAGAAAGCTCTCGGATTTCATCAAAAATATCTAAATTTGCATTTCGAAGATGAATGAAGGTCTTGTTTGGAACAACAACATGAGGGTGAGTAATTAATGACAGAATTTTAATTTTTGGGGGAACTATCACTTTAAATCTTCAAATGGCTTCTAAATGCTCTTGAAGGCACAATATGTAATTTTCGCCGCTAGAGGGCGTTTATTCAAAATAAACAAATAGACAAAGGCGTAGTTTGATGCAGTGACTGAGTGTGGAATCATGGGAGTTGTCTTCATCCCCACAGCCGATGCAATCCGACGGGACTCGTGCAGAAATCATGTTCATGGCTGAGATAATGATTTATTAATGTAGTAGAATGAAGCAGGCTGAGGCTGAAAGCCGTCGAAGTGAAACAAGGCCGCTGAACGAGCGTGACACACGGCTCGAAAGCAGCGGAGCTTTTATTATGCCACAGTCGACTGCTTCCACTCCTTCCGGTCGTGCGGATGTGGGGAAAAAAAGCAGGCACTGTTTTATCATACTAGATATATTTGAAAGTTCTGTTATTATGCTACTCTGTGCAGTCGTCACCGGTCTATTAAAACGCAAAACATTTTAAAAGCATCTTTGGTGTTTCCATGTTTTCTTCAAAACAAAACTGGAAATCGAGGGGTTATGACGTAATTGGCAGGCGACACAATGACACTATAGAAACGGTCCATGTCACTAGTTAAAATTGCTTATTTCTCTGGATTTAAACATTCTTCGAAACATTTCGGATAATGTAAGTACACAAGTCAGCAAAATATATAACACAGTTCTAGTGGTTTTTGGATATTTTAATAAAAAAATCTTACATATTGTGCCTTTAACACAAAAATTCCTAATGGTAATCCATGATGTTACATTCCAAGATGATTGTAAGACATGCTGTTGTGCATACTAATTTGTATGTTTCTGAGTTAATATCAACCAATTGTGGTACATACTTGTGCCTATAATATAAGGGACTTTTGATTTTTCAATTTCAAGCACATGTACTTTATATTTATGCATGCTGTGCTGTTGCTTTAGTTTAAGCACTTCTCAACACAATAGGAAGGATTTTACATGTGCAGAATTTCAGGGTACAGGGCTAATATATAGTATATAACTTGAATCTTGCTAGTGGATGTAGTTACTGAGAGGTTAGACATCATATGAGCTGTTATATAATCTAAACAGCTGTACATTCTATATTGTTGAATCATGTTACAGATTCCGTGAGCATAGGGAGTATATTTATATACTGAACGTTGCTGATGAACCAAATAAAATTGTTCTACCTCTGTTAAAATCAATATGTGTAAAAAGTGTTTTCAGATAATTAGGTGGTTGACAGCTGATAAGGCCCAATCAATAGCTGGTATGCAACTCCTGGTGACCTCCAGTAGCTTCCCCTTAATTCAGTGTGCTTGTGTGCCCTCTGCAGCTGGTTTTGAGACAGCATGTTTCTCTTCAAACAGTAAAGAACAACACTGGATAAAGAACAGCATTTATTAATGCTTCTTGTTGTAGAAAACACCATATTAAAGAATACATATATATACACATCTCCCAGACCAGAGACCTCAGGCTTGTTGAGCGATCTGAGCAATTTTCTGAAGCATGTCCTCAGACTGCAGTTGTTCCAGGGTCAGCAGGGACAGACCCAACTGATCCTCCTGCCACACAAACATGACAAAAAGACTCTTAATACAACATAAATAAAAACATGTACCTCACAACCTCATCCCTGTAAACCAGGGGTGGGGAACGTTGATCCTGGAGGGCCGGTGTCCCTGCAGAGTTTAGCTCCAACCCTAATTAAAAACACCTGAACCAGCTAATCAAGGTCTTCGGGATGCATTTAGGTTTTTTTTTCCTAGGGTTTTTCAGGGTTGGAACTAAACTCTGCAGGAGAGTGGCCCTCCAGGATCAACGTTCCCCACCCCTGCTGTAAACGTATCATTGTGCTTTTGCTTTTTGTGTATATATGTATGATTTAAACTGGTTTAAATTGATAAAAAATTTAACAACTTATTGAATGAACACATAAAGCGTGAGAAGTTTAGATCATTGAACAGGCTGAGGAAGGTTATTGTGGTTACCTGTCTGAAGGGCTGGGCCATCTGTCGTAGAAAGTACTTGGCTAACTGCACAGTCTCATCAATGGTCAGATTTAGGCTTCCATCTGTAAGGTGTTCCTGAATCCAGCGGGGCAGCTTTCCTCGCTTATCTGCTCGTGCGTAACGCTGAGGGAAACACAAGAATTAAACAACTTAGAAAAAAAAATCATGCTACCTTCTCATCAGTTTACTTACCTTATCTGCAAAGATCATCAGGCCGTAGTCTGTTTTGCCTCGGATGGCTCTGCCCACACACTGAGTCGCATGGCGCATCGCATCAAATGTCAGAAAGTCATTTTCCCGGATTTGAAACTGATCTCTGAGGTATTCCAACCGTGCCTAATTCAAGCAAACAGGTCAGGGTATTTCTTTTCATTACAGAATGTATTGGAAATCTTATCAATTAGAAATGTATTCGAGATCTGGGAGAAAAAGCTCTACAAACCTTGAGGATTCGGCTCTGGGTGTAAACGTATGGCACTCCAAACATGATAACGGCACGGCCAAAATGATGAACTGGTGAACAAATGTTTACACTTAATTGTTTTAAAGAATTTGCTAATTACAAGTTTTCTGCATGTTTTATGAAAGTAATTTTAAGACTTGGTAAGACTAAGTAAAGAAAATTTTGGAAGGGCATTTGTAATGGAAGGGCACACAAAATTTGTTTAAAACAAGACAAAAATATCTGCCAATAACATCAGAAAGATAAACTTCCTTCTCATTTGGTACCTCAAGTAAAATTATCTTGATTTAAGAATGTTTAAAGGTCCCATGGCATGAAAATTTCACTTTATGAGGTTTTTTAACATTAATAGGAGGTCCCCTAGCCTGCCTACGGTCCCCCAGTGGCTAGAAATGGCGATAGGTGTAAACCGAGCCCTGGGTATCCTGCTTCGCCTTTGAGAAAATGAAAGCTCAGATGGCCCAATCTGGAATCTTCCCTTTATGTCGTCATACGGGGAAAGGTTACCTCCCCTTTCTCTGCTTTGCCCGCCCAGAGAATTTGGCCCGGCCATGAGAAAATGAGCTACTACTGTGCGAGGCGAGCGCAATATTTTTTTTTCCTCGAGAGACATCATGGCTTGCAAACGAGCGAAGCATGGCAGTTGCCCCGCCTCTCTCCTCCTCATTAGTATTTAAAGCTACAGACACAGAAATGGCACATCCTAAGGAAAGCTCATTGTGGGACTGGCTCGTAGTGGCTGAAATTCTGCACCAAGGCTGAATTTCGGGAAAGAGACTTCAGATAGAGTACTAGGGACCACTTAGGCCTATATAAAAGCAGCCAAAAAGCAGCATGTCATGGGACCTTTAAATATTTGTACTGGGAAAAAAGAACAAAAATACAGAGGAAGATATTCTTCTTTTTTTTTTACACGCAACATTTAATGCCATGATTTTATGAATGTAAGACATTCTGCTCCAATTTAAAACTTTTCTAAGGCCTTAATTTATGGCAGGGTGAATTAAGTCTTAAGACCAGCAGAAAACCTGTATAAAGAAAGCTCAAAATTGAAAGAAGGAGTATCCACCAAAGTCAATCCCCTCTGACACTTTCCCTCTTGCCACTGAGAGCAGAATTGCTCCTCTGCCGTTCTCACAGGCCTGAAAGCAAAAGACAACAAAAGTGATTACATTAACACAGGGAACCTAAAATAAAGTCAACATCACTCAACACGATTACAGAAAATTGGATTAGGGAGCATTAAAACCCCAATGTTTATTGACCTCTTGATACTTCTCCAGGGCCATGCTGGTCTCAGCTGCATCCTGGGTTTCTATGAAAATGAGCTTGTTTCTTTGGATGTTCTCAAGGATGCCCTACAAATCCAGCAAGAGAATGAGTTGAGAATTAGTTATGATTATCATAACGGCACTTTCAGTGATTTGAGAAGGAATCAAGTTGTCTCTTCATACCTGTTCATACCATGAAGCCACAATGTTCTCCATGTATATGTAACTCGTGAAGAATGCAACGATCCCATCAGGAACGATGGCAGACATTTCCAGCAGCAGGTTTTCATAATTCCGGATCACAGCTATGGGATGTATTTTAAATAATGCAAACAAAAACAAAACAACTTGCCAAAATCTTCTCTGGTCTCAAACTTGGAGGTCATCGCTACTTGATCATTCCCTCTGCCAACAATCTGAAAGTTGGAAAAATATAATGGTTTAAAATGGTTAAAAATACACACACACACACACACACACACACATATATATATATATATATATACTTCTGGAATCACATAATGAAATACTCAGTTTCCATTGAGCAGCTTTGTCAGCAGAAAATCACTGATTTAATGTGTTTTTAAAAGATGCCAGCCCAGTATATCTTCATTCGAAACTCTCTATTAAATATGTAAATATTTGCATAAATGCTTTCTTTAAATAGTAAACTACAACGGTGGCATTGCGAGTCATAACTCACAAGAGGGCACAGACAGGTTCGTGCCAGTGTCATGGTGAAGGATGCTGTAGTGACTGGGTGGAAATCAAGGATGCGTGGGTAGATGTCCAGTGGAGAGAGTGTCTGTTTAGAGACAGAATCAAAAATGATCTAAATCAAATATTTGCTAACTCAAAATAGTGAAGCTTCTATTACAAACAACTGCAGAAGATATTGTAAATAACATTTGTGTTTTGCAATAACCGTAGAAGTAAAGGCTACAGATGTTGTATAAAAGGTTCCCCATTAAACTAAAATTAGCAAGCTAAAGCAAACCCATTTTAAATGCGGCCTGCACGCTTTAAGGTGAAAGTGGAGTTTGTCTTACACAGATGGCATGAGTGTTACAGTG